CACATACGCTCTGTCTCCAGCGAGGGTTTGAACCTTGAACTCCTGATGTCTGGTCGTCATGGGAATTGGTGTCTCATGTGACCCCGTGGCGCTTGACGACAACAAACATCTCCGGAACAAGTTAAAGACGTAGACTGTCATTACTTTGTCGATAAATCATACTTGTCGGGTCAGAGGAAATTGAATTTAAAAAAGGGAATGCTTGAGTTTCTGCAGCGAATTACGTCACACTTCACGGAGTTCATCGTGTTCCCTAAACATGAAGACATGATGCAACTGTTCAGCTTCAAAAACAACAGACTCGAGGCTCCGATTTTTATGGAGAATTTCTGCGGGTTTGAAATGAACACCACATACTTGTGCCTCAATGAAAGGGTAAGTGAAGACACCCCTTGCCTTACTCCAGTCATGCCCCATATCTCTCATACTGATAAAGTTACACAACCTACCCTAAGGTCATTAGTGGCCACCACAACCAAAAGCCGTACATGCAAGCTCCAGGTAGTGACAACGCTGATACTACCTACCCTACCACACGACCCCTCTTGGCCCCCAAAACTCAACCGATGAGCCCGACTGATATGGAATTTTTTGGGCCGAGGCCGATATTGATATTAGGGGGAAGAGGAAAAATCCAATACGATAAATCGGCCGATATCTTTCTTAAATTCATGTTTGTTCAAGACAGTCACTCAACTGGAAAGTAACTGCACATGTACGTGCATCACTTCTTGACAATCTGGAGTGATGATGCTTGTTGTAATCCATATAGCGCCCTCTGCTGGTGAAAGAGAATTGCTAGTGTAATAAAATGATTTTCAATGATTTTTGACTGGTGAATACATTTAGTAATATTGGAGTATATCTGCGATAAAGTTAGCCGATACCGATAGTCACTGGATAAGCTAATATCGGCCGATATTATCGGCTGTTGGATTAATCGGTTGAGCCATACTGCAGCTCTTTATCGTGAAATAGTTGTGATGCTACGTGCTTCAAACTTTGCCCCCAACATCCCACCAGGGGGGATTCCTGTCATTGTGAGTAATATAACCAACAGCAGGTGTCAGACATGTCTTCAGTGTGATATTAAAACAACGAGCAGCGTTCTCAGTGGTTAGGACTATGACTCATTACGGGATGGGGGATCACCTTTTTAAAGGTCAAGTGAAAACGATCAGGACCTGCTACTTTCCTGGTTTGAGTACAGGAGGTTAACTGAGGTGTTTTAAGAGCTGTGTGTTAATGCACTTTAAGAGCACTTAACCTCTGATATGAGTTAAACAGTGAGGGCTGCGGCCTTGCTAGTAACTCTTATCTGTATGAATGTAACGACAGGTTAGTGCAGCAGAGTTAGAATATCTGAGCTCAGCTGATTTCTTCTTTCTTACATGGATGGAGGAGACTTTTACTGCTGCAGAGTCAAAGCTGTGGCATTTTTTACAGCTACTATAAAAATCAGTGCTTTCAAAATACATCCAGGCACAAGCAGCAGGTTTATTATCATATTTTGGCATGCTGGTTTTCCCTTAAACGTCTCTAAATTTGCACCCAACCCCTAAGCACAAATTCACTCATCACTTTGTAAATTCCCCCCCCTGTTTGTTTCCTGTTTCACACAGTGGCCACATGTGACCTTGTGGAGTAAACACTGTGGAAAAGGCTCCACACACACACAAGCAGACACGCTGTGACCGAAGTTGTGACTCACGCCTGTCAATCATTTATTACATCCCGTGGTCAGCCTGAGTAAGAGAGTCCACTGTTTACAGCAGCTGAGAGGATGTCAGGTCAATAAAGAGCTGTAAAAAGAACGATTACTGACAATGATCTTCTACATTTGTTTAACATGGCTGATAAAACAACTGATTTGAACTCATTCAGTAAATACCAGGCACTTCTCTGGGTCAATCAAATGCCTCCCCCGGCACTCAAAGCACTTCACCTCCACCTGAGGTGTTCCACGTCTACCTGAGGATGGCAGAGAGAGCTTTCAGCTGAGAAACAAAAACACAGGCAGCAAAGCCAGAAAGCTTGCACGAGTAGCTACATGCTCACATACCCTCAGAGAGTTATTCCTTTTGATGAACACAAAACACTGCCAGTTTTTACAGCATAAGTTAACATGTTTACTGACTGATATAAAAAATGAAAAAAGGGCTGATTAAGTCATGTCTCTATCAGCACACAGTGTACGAGAGAGATTCAAACACCTTGATAAGAATCCCTGGACAGTATTTAGACGAGCAACTCCACCTGTGTCCCATACACTAAAGGTTCATGAGCAGAACTGTTTCATGATTACGTCTGTGGCTTTTAAGGCAACTTGCTTAGCAACATGTTCTAGTCCATGCTAATGAGCATTCAGGGAACCAAACGGACTTTCGATGAATCCCGAGTGGAAAAGAAAGGGAGGAAGTGAGAGCAGGAAATGAAATGCAAACATCTAGCGGTGATGAGAATTTTGATTAGGACACAAGCTGGACTTTATTCACTGCACAACAACAGCTACCAGCATGTATTTTTTTTACTTGAAAATGACGGACTCTGGACGGTGGAGGGTCAAATGAACCGAGACCCCCAGAGACTGACACAGAGCTGGACTCTCAGAATGAAACTTTTCAACTCAAGTACTATTGATTGTCCTGTTTCTACTCAAACTGAATCACACACACATTCATAGGGGATATGATTTCCTTTCACAAAACCACCGTGTAATTTTTAAAATACTCGGCTGCCACTTTAAAAAAAAAAGGCTGCGTCTCTGGACTCCACGATAAAAAGCTGACAGAGTGGAAACACACACACACACAGCTTAACTCTAACAGAAGCTTCCTCCATTGAGAGAAGAAATCTCGTCTCCACACTTCCCTCTGGCACTTTCTTATCCTCCTGTTTGACAATCGGTGATGTCACTGTGACATCATCAGTAACCAGGCAGCTGAAAACCTTTATTTCAGGAAGATCAATATCATCGTCTGATTATACAATTCACCCTCGGGATAAATAAAAGTAATCTACTGATCCATCCATCATTATTACACTGCAGATTATTATTCTCAGGATGGACTGAACTAAAGTATACCAGGAAATCTTCTTCCGAGAGTCTTAAATTTAATTTTTTGCCATCTTTGCATCACAAATATCTTGAATGACTCAACCATTATAAAAAGAGTCGCTCTACTAATTATGAGATTAATTATAGTTGCACTTGTAATTTTATTTAAGTGATAAATTACACACTGAGCATGAATGAATCTTCTTTTCGGCCTGTGTCCGGGGGGGGGGGGGGCAAGCCGTCCGCTTTCAGACTGCGCTAACTTGAGGTCTGGGTATGTCTTTGTTTACATGAGGGAAGGAAGATAAGAAACGTCAGCCGTCTCTGTTTTGCTGTATGTCTTGATGTGAAACACTTAATCCTGGTTCTTTTTCCACAGTTAACTCAATGGTCCTGCTGTTGATTCAGCGTGTTGTTAATCAACACAGATGACTCAGTGATGAAAATAAAAACCCTGCCAGGAGCTGCAGCTTTGGAGGAAAAACAAACACTTCAAAGTGCTTTTCTCAGGCCAAACATGCAAATTATGCCCTTAACTTCCAAGCTTACTTATTGATTCTCTTCTGGATGTTTCTGCTGGATCTCTACTCTAACTGTGATTGGCTGGCAGCTCTTACAGTGATGTGGTTATTAATGTGAGAGAAGTCCCCTCTCTGGGTATTAAGAGTCATAGGAGGCCATTAGGGAGTTTGTTGTGTGAAAGTGTCAGTGGAGTCAGTGACATCATCGGTTACCGGGTAGAACGGGTACAGATATCACAGACGACAGGAACTCACCCAGACAGTCCCAGACAGTCCCCGACTGTGTGTGTGTGTGTGTGTGTGTGTGTGTGTGTGTGTGTGTGTGTGTGTGTGTGTGTGTGTGTGTGTGTGTGTGTGTGCTGCCATAACTCACATTAATGTTTGAGTTAGTGCTCTGATGTTTTGTTTCCATGTGAGAGCATGTGCCCAGTGATTATTTAGATGAATGACTACAATTCACCAAAAGCATGTGACACACTCACACACTCACACTCACACACTCACACACACACACACACACTAAAATTTAGAATAATAACGAACACAATATAACAATTCTCCAGATTAATATCCTTCACTTTTGCTGCAAATCCCGAGTTTAGCATTTCAGCCACATTAAGCATTCGCCACACTGGTTTACAGTAGAGGAAACAACAACAACCTGTGGTCTCCTGTAGCTACGCTGTTGACCACATGGAACCACAAAGCGGAACAAAGGCAGGAAACCAGGTCTGGTTGCACGTCTTTCAGTTCAAACAAAACACGTGAGAGTATCTGGAACAGGGGTCGTATTCAAACTAGTATCTCCATATTATTGATGATGATGATGGTAATGACGATGGTTTTTGTTTGATAACGACGACTTATAAGATGGTTTCTAAACTGATTAGAGCTCTCAAGAACTGCCCTCAATGTTGTGCTTTGCCTCTGGTCACTTCCTGTCAACACCTGTGTGTCCAATCAGACTCAAAGCGACCGACCTCAGCCCTTTGCCCCCCCCCAGCATTTCCTGTCTCAGAGAGATGCCAGAGTGACAGCGCCGCCCCCTGCGAGGTGCTCCTGAGCTGGTGGTGGGGAGGGGGGTTTGGTACTTTGCTCAAGGGCACCTCGGTAGTGCTCAGGAGGCGATCTGGCACCTCTCCAGCTACCACACCAACTTCCATATTCGGTCCGCACAGAGACTTGAACCGGCGACCCTCCGGCCACTTCAGCTAAAAGCTTTATTACTATATATTTTTTTTAAAGTCTGATTATTGGTCTGGCAGCTGGAGAGGCGTCAGTTCACTTCCCGAGCACTGCAAAGGGGCCCTCGAGCAAGGCACCAACCCAACACTTCTTGGCTTTCAAACTATCCCAAGAAAAGAAAAGCTTCCTCTGTGATGCTGAAACTAACTGAAGACCCCCCCCCCCCCCCCTCTCACCTGAGCTGAGAGGGGGGACGTCATCCGTGTTGGAGAAGTCCAGCGTCCCCCCCGCGATGTCCACCATGTCGTCATCGTCGTCGTCACTGGAGTGATGGAGGGCCTCGAAGCTTCCGGTGCGGTACCCTGCTGCGGTCTCCATCCTTTTAAATCCTGTCAGAAAAGAAAAAGTAGGATAATCACACAAAGAGAGAGAGAGAGAGAGAGAAACTGGTGTTTACCTCTGAGTCTGCCGGCTGAATATTTCCGATACAAGCTCGAAGAAAACTTCAACATTGTGCAGCTAAAGTGCATCTCCGCTCACAGGAAGTTTTCATAAAAACATCGGCTCTGTTTTTGTTTCCTCCAAATGTTTGAGTAGAAACCAGCAGAACAAACTGCAGTCGACGAATTAAAAGATTATTAGCTTAGCTGTTAGCAGCCGCAGTCGTTATATTCCTGTCACCAGCGGCTGTCAAACTAACTCTGCGAAAACGTAACCGTTGACGTAACTTTTGACGTTCTCGAGCGTGGACTCAATTTAATGCGAACGTTTTAATACAAAAGTGCACTTAAAAAAAAAAGAAGAAGGAGTATTTAAGGTTGTAGACTGTACCTGTGAGGAGAGAAAGCAGCCGTCCAGCTCTGTGGAGAAGAAGTCTTGTGACTCGGATTTGGCTGCTTATGTCAACAGTAGCCAACGTAAACTTAACACTCCTGCGTCATGCTCCGTTTAAAAAATAAAATAAAATAAAATAACCGCATTAGTTGCGTTAAACGAGGCCAACGTAGAGCAATATTGTTGGTAAGACGCCGCAAAAGAATATAAAAAAATGCGATGACTGTCCGCAGCACGGCTCGCTTTTGCCACTTAAAACTACAAATGCTTAAGCGACGGTCAAGCTAGGGGAAGTTAGCTACAACTTCCGGTAAGGGGTAGTCAAAATATCCGTCAAAGATAAAGATAAACTTTATTGATCCCCCATGGGGGAAATGTTTGCATTACAGCAGCTCAAGAGAACAGGAGACAGTAATATAATTATTAAAAAATAAAAATAGAAGTTAAAACATATTTTCAAAAGTTAAATAAAAAAATACAATAGTAGAAAATGACACGGTATTTTTTTTAACAGTAGGGTAAATGTGACGATTTCGTTGTCAAAGCTTAGTCAGGAATTCAAATACTATTGTGGGTATTTTGTACATGTGTTTTTTCGTTAATTTCCCGCACGACGTCAGGATTCATTGGTTTTATTCTTAAGGCCGCATCGCTCTGTTTCCGGTCAGTACAGCTGCTTTATCCACACAGACCAGGGGGGAAGTAATCGAGTCACGAGTTATCGATGCGTCACAAAGTGGGTCAGTGGAGCAGTTCGACCTCTCGGCGTTCGATTTTATCTCTGGTCTGCTGGTGTTTTGAATTTTGTGACTTCAGCAGCAGTGTTTTCCACTTACCTGACCTTTACTTCAGCTTGAACTATTAAAGAACTACTTTTTTTTCACCTGTATTTAAAAGTTCTTCACAAATTAATTATTATTATTATTATTAATTAATGGATTTTATTGGATCATTGTGTCATGCATAAACAATATGCCCAGCCCAACAAGAGACCAAAGACCAAAAGCAGATGCTTAATAAATGTATTAATGATCTGCAACTATTCTTTGTTCGGCTGTTGTCTCTGTGGATTGGAGTGTTTTGAGTTGGAAAAAAAACCCAGTTCAAAGGCGACACCTTGTGGCCATGTGTTAGAAATACATCAGGACCCTCTATAAGTAGAATTCAAGTACTTAAAATAGTACACATTTCTTATTCTTGTACTTTATTTTAGTTTTTCTAAATTTTGTCAGAGGTAAATTTTACTTTTGACTTAGTTTCTTCTCAGACGTTGTCATGTCCTTCTCCTGAAAACAAAAGTTTGTGTTTTTTTTGTCACTTTAATTTGTATTGATGGTTTCAACATCTGTACACCTATAAAGCACACTTTGTGAAAAGACCTGCTGGTGCAACCGCAACCGGCATCATCCTCTCCTGGTTTATGTCCTATGTCTCCTAACTTTCCTTCTTTTCTCCCCTTGTCTTGTTTTTCCTGCACGCCTCACTCATTCATCTTTTTTTTTCTGCGATCTGAAGTAGACACAAACACGTCTCCACCCGGCCTCCCACTGTGTCTTTTCTTTCAGTGGGCCTGTTTCTCTTCACTTTCTTTCTCTCCTTTATATAAACACAATCATTAAAAAGATAACAATTCAATTAAAGTGACCTTACAGTGATACCATCCTTCATTCAATCTGTTCCCTTTGTCATTTTTGATTTTGGTTTTCTTTCACTTTTGAGTTTCCGTTGTCGGTCACTTTGTCCTCTGCACTTTTATACGCCTCCATGTTTGGTCTTATGTCCCTTTCTTTGTCTTTTTCCACTTCTCCTCTGTTCTTCAATCTGGGTCAGGCAGAAGACTGAACTCCCTCGCTTCCCCAAAAAAACACGGATTCCTCACTTTTACCACAGCTGTTTTCTTTATTATTTCCTCAGACCAGAAACCCCCTCATTCAGCAGCTTTCTTTCTCTCTATGTGAGAACAAACATGTGGCCTGAAACGCCTCTCAACTTAGTGTTTTTTTTTAAATTAAACATCACGTTAGCAAAATACACTTTACCATGTTTCTCTAACACTAATATGTGTCTCTAGTCTGTCTGTCCTCTCCGTCTTTTCCCTGCTCCACTTTTCAGAAAATGTGTGCTCAAACAGGCTGTTTGGAGATTTTCCCTTCATGACATCACAAAGGGCAGTAGCCCCTCCCCCAGGTGGGTGACACTCCCACAGCTAGGTGTTTGTTCTGCCCTCTGAGTCTGCCTTCTCACCGTAAACAATAGGACATGGAGCGAGAAAGCACCGAGTACACCCAAGCCCTTCCAGAGAGGGGGCGTGGTCAGACACAGCTCATTTACATATTTAAAGGTACAGACACAGAAACAGCCTGTTCTGAGCAGGGCTGAAATAGAGGGGTTTATAGACATGATTAAATAGTTACCCCACACCATCAATTATTTCAGAGTGGTATATACAACAGAAACACATTTCTTACTTACCAATAATTGTTTAATACTGAGAATAACAATACCACTGTCCTTAAGCGCTTCATATTTGCAGCTCTATGTTTCTGCTACACTTTGGCTAGAATTACAGGTACAGGAATTACAGTACAGGCTTATTTTTTGAAAGATATTTTTGGGCCGTTTAAGCCTTTATTGACACAATTCAAAACAAATCTTTTCCCCACATCTCTCAATCCGCCGACTGAGCAGCCGCTGAACGACTCAATCTCCCCTCCACTCATCATCTGACAACCTCTGTTCGACCTTGGCCATATTTACTTAACCATCCCCCGACACTCAAACAACAGTTTCCCCCTCAGATGAAAAAATATCCTACATCTCTGCACCGGACACATAAAAAGACCGTTCACCCAGGAGGATATAAATCACAACAGGAGACGTAGAGCTTGTTTAAAATACTATTATTATTATTTGTGGTACTTTTTACTCACAGGAGTGTTTTTCACTTACACATCTTGCAATACATTTTACAAAAAAAAATCCGTAATATATCAAAATTACACAGGAAAACAAGAACGGAAGAAATATACTCTCATACTAACCCAACAAGCATCTTTTTTCCTCTTTTTTCCCCCCGGTCAGCTTTAAAAATGGCTGTTATAGTACAAAAATACATGTAATATTTACAATACAGAACAACAAGGACATGTTAAGTTTGGAGTTTTGGGTGTTAAAACAGCAGGAATCATCTGAGAATGAACTTAGGTAGTGAACGAAAACAAGTGTTAAACTGTGACTTTTAATCCAACCAGTTAAACTAATAATGTAAGCCAAAAGTAAATGTGTTTGAATTTTTCAGCAACTTACAAAAGTTTGCCTTTAAACAGTCAAACTATACAAATCTCCCCAACAGAATCCCTCCCATCTCTTGTTGAGCTACTGTTATCTTTTTTAACATTTATTGCCTTAAGTTAAAATACTGAATCTCAGGATAGCTTGTCTTACAAAGATTGGGAACAAGAAGTCATTTTTGGTATGTTTTGGCACTTTCATTAACAAAAAGGTGGACAATTTGGCAAATATATGCAGTTCTTTCTTGCTGAGAGTTAGACGAGAAGATTGATACCACACTTGTACATATGCGTGTTAAATATGAGGCTAAATCCATCAGCCAGTTAGCTTAGCTTAGCATTAGGAATGGAAAAAGAGGAAAACAGCGAACCTGAGTCCATAAACATATGTTAGCCTTCCTGAGCTCTAAAGCTCACTTATAAATATGTATATTTGTTTCAACTGTACAATGCGAAAACAAGACAAATGCATGCTAGCTAAAGACAGCTAGCCTTTCAACCTTAACTAGCGAGCCCCTATCTGTGTCTTTTTACACCTTCGTTTGGCTCTATTTATTGATCTTTAGAGAGTTTCTGGTAGGAAGATATTTTAACATTTTGGACAGGGCCAAGCATCGCTCTGTTAAAATCCTGTAAAGCAAATTTTTATCTGTAAGAAATTGTAAGTGTTAAATAGAACCAAAGCAAGCTAGCCAAAAAGCTAAATTGGCTAGCCTGAACAAGCTGGTTATCACAATGTGTAATTTTTAGATGTAGTTTTGCACCAATTGAAAATTCAAGAAATTGCTTTTAATTAGTTTAAGAAGTGCGAGTAGGGGGACAGAGAGTTCCTTTCCCTTCATTTTCAAAAGCTGTGCTAAGCTAAGCTAACAATCTGCTGGTTCTAGCTTTATACATTACGTACAGACACGAGAGCGTTGTCAATCTTCTCATCCAACTTTTACCATGAAAGCCAATAAATGTTCTTTAGACTTCAGTTTCCAGTAAACACTAACTGACAAAAAAATAAAATTCAAGGCTTTAAGAAAACAAATAAAGGGGTTCAAAATGGGAGTAAACTTCGGGAAAAGTTCACCTAATACTTGATCAAGCTAACAACAAAAACAACAATTCTTGGGATTCTTTCTCCATCAAAAATACCCAATAATCTTCTCTCTTGGCAGTCTTCTTGTCCATCCTTACAACCAATTTTTACAATCTTTTCCAGTCACTTCAAACATCAAAAGAACTATTTACACATCTTATACATTATAAACACAAGTGTCCTCTGTACATAACAGTTAATATGTGACAGTATAACGAGTCGGTGGGGTCTCAAACTCCACACAGTGAAACATGTTACATCCACAGACATTACAGTAATAGGAATACAAAGTAATATGGTGACATTATGGTAGATAATACAGTATATGTAATGCTAAATAGAGGTGTCAACCAGCAACGAAGACAAAATGACACATTTAGCTAACTTCCCGATAATGCTGCAGTTTTGTTAATGGAAACAGTTTTTAAGTGTGAAGCACCAGAAAATAAAAGTCTCCTTAGATTCTCTGAACCAGGAGATTTAAATACAAAAAGAAAAAACACACATAAAGCAGCATCTCAGTGACACATTCATCAAGCGAAAATGTCTTTGGCAACGTAGTGTGATACTGATCAGTGTTAGCGTTACAGTACATGTTTCAGGCACTTAATGTGAAGCAGAGGCTATCGACTTTCAACGTCTTTAAACAAGTGTTTGGGGGATATGTTGTCGTTAAAAGCATCTGGTGTATTCTTTATATTTGAAGATTTAACAAGTCCGTGCTTCACTTTCTTCTTCGGTCTTTTTTTTTCTTCTAAGGTTTAGTACTTAAGTCCACTTCTTTCCACTTTCTGACCCCTTTGGCCTTAAGCTCCTGTTTTGGTCTTAGTCTTCACCGTGGAGCTTTTCTAGCTGTTGGTTTTTGGTCCTGAAACCTCGGCATCAACATTTTTCTAACTCTTAAAGGAATGGTTTGACAATTTGGAGTGCTAAAGATGAAGCTGTCTTGCCAATGTGATGCCAACTCTTAGTTACCTTAGTCTTAAATTTGGCATTGTGGCCATCACCATCTTGTTATTTTTTAAGCAAAAAAAAAGTTACCATGTATTTGGAAGAGAGGGTGTTTATGGACAGAAGCGTTGGGGTTAGAAAAATGCTAAAATATCAGCTAATGCTAGCTTGGCTTAGCAACATCCAACTGTAATTTGTTTAGCATGAAACCTGATTTTTACAAAATGTTCTGGCCAAAACATCATGTACAGCCAACTCCATTGCCAATCACAAAGAAAGGCTGAACTAGACAGCTAAGCTACGTAATAGCCAATCACAGCCACGCCCTCAAAAACCCATCTTAATTGTCAGTTTCAATCTAAATGGGACCATCATTTACTAAATTAACTTCTTTGTGTATTAGATCAGTCTTTGTACTTGCCATTGAGACAAAAAAGACTTTGAGAAAAAGCTTACTAAGGTTTTAAGTGAGAAGATGGGAAATATTCAGATAGCTTCTGCACAATCAGATTTTGGTCGCCCCCTGCTGGCCATTTGAAAAAAATGCAAATTGAAGGCACTTTGGCATTGGCTTCCCTTTTTCCTACTACTTCTTATAAAAAGCCTTAGATGTAGGGTCAGGGAACCTTTAGCCTAGCTTAGCATTAAGACTTCAGGAAGTCAAAATGACATAAACCATATTAAACAGTGAGTCTTAAGAGACAGATGTCAAACTATTCCTTTAAGAATCAATGCTCACCTCTAAATCTCCAACGTGTCGACCTGAATCTGACTACACACCCTGCTTCATCATCTCTTTTGTTTTTTTTTTATCTTTCTTCAGTAATGTCCGTATCCCATCGACATTCCCATACCGATCCCCAGACCCAGACCCAGACTCTCCCTCAGCCCCCGCAGCTGCTCCTCTCCCAGCCGGATCTTGTCCTCCAGCTGCCTCTGCTCCACCAGCAGGGCCGCCTTCATCTTCACAAAGTGGCTACGAAGGAAAGAAAAAAACACACACAAAAATATATAAAACAAATGATACCCTGCATATTAACACGAGCAAAGACGTCCATAAAACTGAACTCTGTGAACCTTTGATTCACCTTTTAGTAACGGTGGTGATGTTTTGTTTTTTAAAATGTACTCCTTACACTGATTTCAGGTGATAAAAGTTGTCTTTGTGTCGTACCTGTAGTCTCTGTGCTGCTCGGGGGAGAGGCAGCGGGCGAGCACCCGGCTGACGGCCTGCTCTCTGCGGTCCACGTGGTCCTTCAGGTCCTGAGCCTCGGACAGCTGCCTCATGAGCTGACACTTCTTCTCCAGCAGGGGGAGCTACAGGGCAGACAGAGGGGAGGATGGCGGACAACAATAAAAGTTTAAGGACTTCATTTTCTCTTTTAAACACCGACTTTAAGAAGTACATACTTGTACATTTAGAGGTACCCTGTTTCCCCACCTCTCTCTCTCTCTCTCTCTCTCTCTCTCTCTCTCTCTCTCTCTCTCTCTCTCTCTCTCTCTCTCTCTCTCTCTCTCTCTCTCTCTCTCTCTCTCTCTCTCTCTCTCTCTCTCTCCTCTGTTTCCTCCTCACCCTCTCGTGGTGCTCCGTCTCGGGGTCCAGAGTGTCCAGCGTGGTCTCCACCCTCAGCAGCCTCCCGGACAGAGACAGCAGCAGACTCACCACCTTGTCCATGTCGCCGATGAACATGCGGAACTTGTCGACCTCGTTGGGTTTGCACACGGCCACCACCATGCTCTCCACCTGAGGACGCGGACACGACCAGGTACAGATATATTTGGGGTTAAGGGGGGTCACTGAAATCAATGAAAACTAAAAAAAACGTTCTTCCCAGGAGGTGAATGAGTAAGAAGCTGGACGTTTCTCCCACCTCGTCTCCCAGCTGTGCGTTGGCTCTGATGTCCTCCTGCAGCCCCCGCTGAGCTTCTCTCAGCACGCCCAGCTTCTTACGGAGACTCTCCATCAGCTGTTTCTGCAACACAGCCACAGAAATGTTACAAAATATGACAAACAAAGCACAACATCAGGAGACGGATTCCCAGACCACTTTGCCGCGCGCGTTACCTTGTACGTCAGCTCGTCGTCCTCGTCCCTCTCTCTGGTGTCCGTGAAGTCCTTCATCTGTGACAGCAGCTGAGCTTTGGCCGCAGACGTGCTGTAATAAGACGAGCAGCTGGAGCTCGCACCCGACCGCCTGGCGCAGAGGAAGCGTTTGTTTTATTTACACAAGAGGGAGAGCGACTAAACAGACGCAAGGTCGTAAATAGTGTGATCAGAGGAGTACATAAATAAGAAACGCAATCAATTATCTCCACAAAGGGAAAAACCTCGTAACCGCACGCACGCACGCACGCACGCACGCACGCACGCACGCACGCACACACACACACTCCCCCCCTCCTCAGGATTGACCCTCCTCACCTGTCCAGGCTGTCCGTGTTGTGCTCCTGGGTTTGGTAGGCTCCCCTCCAGCTCTCCGTGCCCGACTCGCCCTCGCCGCTCTGGGGGAAGAGCTCCTCCAGACTCAGCCTCTCCCTGACCTCTAGCTCCTCCTCCTCCACAGAGCCGCTCTCCGCCCGCGTCCTGCCCGCCGCTGCCGCCGAGGGCGAGGCCTCGGAGCCCTGCAAGGTGTCGATGTCCGTCTCCAGGACGGTGACGGGCAGAGCGAAGCACGGGAGCTCGCTGGTGATCGGCTCGTCCCCCGCCGGAAGTCCCTCCTCGTCCTCCTGGAAGTCGTCGATGTCCGTCTCCATGGGGATGTCGAGCTCCGCGTCCAGGCTGTGCGCGGGGCTCGGGCTGAGGGTCGTCTCCGATTCGGTTCCTGGTTCAGAGATCTTCTGGTGGTCTGCACCCATACGAAGCTGCTGCTGCTGCTGCATGTAGTCGATGGAGAAGTACGACTCAGGACGTAAAGCGGCACCGACTTCTCTGTTTTCTAAAACAGGAGGAAGCGACGAGTCACTGCGGACTCTGGGAGACGGCGTCCTCTCCCACTCGGCTCCTGGCCTCGCGTTGGGCTGGTGTGTGTGAGGTCTTAATTTGTCCTGATCTGGGCTGTGGCTGTCGTTTACCTCAGACACGCTGCAGAAACACAAAGGAGATAAAACATCACATCATAAAGATAAAAGATACACTACAAGACAAACAATGTGCAGACCACAGGGTCATTTTAGAAAACATTTTAAACACATTTTCAGCCAATTTCTGAAGATCTTTTGCACCCATGACTTATCTTACTACCCGATTTCATGCATTAGCTTTACAGACTTCCATTGCATTAATAAACACTGGGGCTGTCAATGTTTACATGTTAATACTGTTTTTTTTTTTAAGTCACTATCGTATTCATGATCTTATTTGCTAAACATGCAAAGGGACTTGTGTTGGTAGTGTGAAGGAGTGACTGTATCAACAAACAGGAATTCTTTTTGTACATTTTGTAGTAATTGCTGCTTTAAATCTGGAGCTCACCTTCTCCCGCTCTCTTCTGCTGGTGTAGGAGGTGGAGGCGGAGTCAGTAAAATCTCCACCCCCTCCTGCTGCTCGTCGTATGAGCTCCTCTCTCTTTGAGGCGGGGCCACCGGTCTAAACGCCCGCCTGGAGAACGTGGGACTGGGCAGAGCCATAGCAAAGGGCTGCTCCTGATATTCCACCTGATTCTGATTGGACGGAGCGACGAGGGAGACAGTGTGTTCCAGGGTTTGTGTTTGGCTCTGATTGGACGAGGCGTGGGAATACGTTTGCTGCTGGGTTTGGTTGCACTTGCAGCGCGGGCAGCTCTCTGAAGCTTCCTGTCTCTCTGGAGGAAGACTGTAGGAGCGCTGTCGGGATGTTTCTGACGGAGGGACGAAGGCGGGAGACGCGGAGTGTGGAGCAGCAGAAGAAGAAGAGGAGAAGAGGGCGTGGTGAGACGCACGTCTGCGGTGGAACTGCTCCCACTTTGGGGGCGGCGGTCTTGGGGGAGGTGGCGTTTTCTTTCTCTTAGGCCAGGCGGTGTTGGCGGCTTCTACTCCTCTGACCCCGCCGGCTCCTTCCTCTACCTCGCTCAGAGTCTCGCTGGCCGCCACAGAAATGGACGGAGACCACCGGTGGCTGCTGTCGAAGCGGAGGTCGTTTTCAGACATGGCGCGCCCTCGCAGAGAGAGAGGAGCTGGAGGGGGAGGGAAAGCGTATCCATTCTGCTCATCGTTGCCTCCGTCCACTTGTCTGGAGCTCCAACGACCCGGGTGCGGGGGCTGATGATTATAATGATGAACGCTCTCTGGAGGCCTCGATTCCCGTCTCCAGCTTGAATAGTCCCTGAGAAGAAACGATACATCTCTGTGAACAAAAACTAGCACCAATGTAGGCTGGTTTAGTCAGCAATCGTTAAAACATCAGCTAATTGTTTGCTAACCATTTTGTTTAGCTAACTGTGTAAACAGTGTGTGACCATTTCCAGTATTTCTTTTAGCTAACCATCTCAATATTTCTTCTTTTTAGACCTCTGTGCTTGTTTATTTACTGGTTTTCATCCACTCTTAATAAGATAAACAAAACTGTTCTAAATGTTGCCTCAAATAGAGAATTCATGTGGTATCCCGTTACTTAAATAAACTACGTTTCCAGGGGCCTTGGCGGTATAAAGGGACGATGGGCGGAGACATATCCATGAGAGGAATCCACACAGTGCTAAACAAAAACATAGAGAAAGTAAAAGTGGATAAATTACACTTCCTATTTTCATTCCAGACTCATTGAACTGTTTCTGTCTCAGGTCAAATATGAGTAGAAGTAGAGTAAACCCCCCCCCCCCCCTCCACATACTAACTTACAGAAATCACCATCCAACCACATATCATTATGGTCACATTTTTAAGCATGGATGATTGCTCCACACACTTAGAGCTCATTACAGTCAAATCACAGCCGGGCATGACTGAGTGGGATTTCCGCCCGTCACTGCACAATGGGCTGACCCCATCTTAAAGTCTGAGGAGACACGCGTTTAGACAATCAGACAAAATGGAGAAAGCGTGTCTGCACTGCTGTAAAAAAATGTTGTGAATAGATAAATTAAAAAATGAAATATGAATATAAAGGTTTGCTTTGTTGTTGCTAGGGGAAATGGCTCACCTCTCAGTCAGGCTGTACTTCCTGTTGAGTTTGGCAGTTTCCTGTTGCCGGGCGGGATACATCTGTGGAAGAGATTTACAGCTGGAATGAAGGAAGGCTTCAATTTGGGTGTTGCTCCACACTGCCATATATATATCAAGATTGATGAGGTTAATTGGGGTGGAGGTATGTTTTGCTGAATTTGGGAATTTTTTAAATGTCAAAATGGGAAAATGAAATCGTATATTAATTGTTACTAAACTGTGAAAAGATGGTGGTAGCTTTTTTTCGGGACACAAAAGTGATGACTTGGGCGCATGTTGGGTTTTTTTTGATGACCATATGTCAAAAACCCAAAGATTTTCATTTATTAAAGACAACTAACAAGACAAAATCTACTTACTTTTTGAAATTTAAGAGACTGGAACTGGTTGATTTTTGTATTTCCTTATCTAGCTTGTAAATTGACTTCAGTAAAAAGTCTAACAACTTGCTTTGGGCCATTTTCTCTGCGGCTTTCAACCAGTTTCAGGTCTTTCTCTTTGGATGGTTTGCAGTATTTTTATTGAGTTACAGTTGGATTCAACCAAATTACTATTTACAAGTAAGAAAATGCACTGCTTCATGTGATCATGTTGGAAAAAAACAAAGTTGACATGTAGTACTATTCCTTCTTTTATTTAACACATGGTTCATTTCTTGTTTTGTTTATTTCAAAATATTTTCCAGTGCATCTAGCTCACCATCACCTGAGGAAATTATATAAATCTTTACTCATTCTAGCTGCAGTTAGTGCAGTATCAGATAATTTTCCTTCTTCAACCCTGTTTATTTACCCATTGGTTTAATAGTGAACAAACTTATTGCACCCTTATTACATAGATACATCAGCCATTAGATGCACACAGAAAGACAGTGAAGAGCTGCAGATACACCAATGGGATATGCTATATTTTCTGACTGTCTGAAATGTAAATGTCAACATTCACATGGTGTTTTTGTTGGATCTGTGGGGTGAGAATTTTACATATTTGGCCGCCATTTGCTGTCAACATAGAATACAACTTATACAATGGTTATAACTGATAGGTTTGTGATAATAAACTCCAAACCACAAGAACCTTGATGGCAGCAATGTGGGTTTGAGGGGCATTAAGTAATTTTATCGTGAATAGTTGGAAATAAGATAAGCAGACATCCAACAGAATCGGATTGACTGCTTTGAGCTTAACACAAACATTGACAATTATGAATGTGCTTTGTTATGTTTTCTTTGAAATGTTTCCCCTTCTATTGCTTCATCTGTAGATTGTCTTACGACAGCCTTGTAGTACATCAAGCACATCTGTTACCATTAAAGGCACTGGAAATCGTCAGCACCAGATATTAAACAAATATTCATCTTATGGGGATATCACCGTGGCATCAAACCAACATCCTTTTTATATGTTAAAGATCCCAACATGAAGGAAGTTTGAGTTCAAGTCAGCCTGAAGCAAAAGAAATGCTGAATTGATGATAGGTTTATTGCAAAACAAATGTCGGTTTGGCTTTTCCTGAGTGTCAGATGATGAGGTTGGTAATGGGCTGAAGTTCAGATGAGGTGCTGCGACCCAAGCCAAGAGACTCAAATCAGTTTGTGGAAGACATGTAACCCTAGCTGCTATTATTGCTGACACAAGTGTGCGCTGCTGTTGCCCAATGTGCCTCAGTTGTAATAGCTACTTCCATTATCTGCTGTGTTTTCTATGCGAATTTCAGACTTCCACTGCACACAGGATGCAAGATTTAACTACAAACCAGTCATTCCACCACGGAGCACTTGGACCAAGCAATCGCTTAAGTTCAACATCCAATTTTGGCCACCTCGATCCCTTTCTGGTGATAGTTTTAAATAACCAAGATAGATTTCAGTCTCCAGCGGTAATGTCAGTTCAGGCTACAACCACAGTCTGACTGCAGTGAACTGCAATGTTTATGTTTCACTGTGAAAGGTGTACTTTTAGTGTTGCTCAGACACAGACTGTTATTTATCTTTTAAAGCCCTCTGCTGGAAATTGGTTTTGAGGCCAGCAGGCTTGTAAACATACTTGTTAACTGACACAATAAGGATTGTGAACAGGTTTATATCTTAACAGCTTCTGCCTTGAAAACAATGGCATTGTTTGTCAGGTCTGACAAATGACACTCAAGTATAGGAATTCCTTCAGCAACATTCAACATTAACCATGACTCAATGCCCCATTGCCACAAAAAAAGTTAATGCACCGAAATATGTTGTTGCATTTGTGAATACGTTTTAATGCATTAGTGTTTAAGACTACATTTAAGTTAAAACAGTGGTCTTACCTCTGTAGCAGTGTAGCTTCTTGTTGTATATCCCTCCTGAAGAGGTTGCTGATATTCCATTTGCTGGGAGGAGGTGTTGACTCGATAAAAAGCCGATCGCTGGACGTGATTCTGGGTATGGCTATGGGAGATGGTCTGAGGCTTGTGCTGGAAGTTGTCCTTGGGTTGGTAGTCTTGATTCTTTTCTTTGAAGCCAGAACTGCCATAAAACTCCTGATGCGAGGTGAGCTGAGCATCTTCTTCCCTCCCCCCCCCTCGTTCTCTCTCAAGCTCTTTCTCTCTTTGTATCTTGAGATGTTCCTTCTCTCTGGCCTTCTTCATCCCTTTTTCTCTCTCCAGCTCAAGCTCCCTCTCTCTTTCCCTCTCCCAGTGTCTCAGCCTCTCCTCTCGTTCCCTCTCCTGCTGGATCTCCCTGAGTTTCGCCCTCTCAATTTCCAGTTCCCTCTCCTGTCTTTCCTTCTCCTGCTGCCACTCTCTTTCTCTCAACCTCTCTTCCCTGTCCCTGTCCTGAGCCCTTTCCTCTCTTACTCGGGCTTGTTCCCTCTCCTTCTCTCTCTGCCTCTCCCTGCTGGTACTAACAGACATCCTTCGGGATTCCGCAGTGCTTGGAAGCAGGGAACTTTCCTGTTGAAGGCCACCCTGGTAGGAGTATCTCCTTTGGGCTTGATGTTGACCAAGTTCCCGTCCTTGAAGCTCTGCATTTTGCTGGGGCCTGTTCTGCCTCTGACTTGTCAAACTTGACCCATTTGACTTAGACATGGCCTTGCTAGTCTCCTCGAAAAACTTCATTCTATCTGCAAATGGAAGGATATCGGAATCGTCCATTCGAGAACAGGAAGATGAGCGACTGTATGAGGAAGTGGATGAAGGGGTGAAGGCACAGACCCCATGCCTCGACCCTGAGACTCCCAACACCCTCTCACGTGAGACTCCATTCCTTCTGTCTGGTTCAGGTTCTGGTTGAAGTTTATGCTCAGGGGTCCAACGCCAGCGGCGGGCTTTACCAGCAGGAGCTGGTTCCTCCACAACTCGGATTCCAACCCCAAAACTGGGGACTCCTGGGTCAAGAATCTGGACGGATCTAGTTGGACTGTTGCTCTGAGGGCAGGTTGTTGACTGTGGCTGAGGCAGGACATCATGGTTTGATTCAATTGATTCCTCAACTGGTGCTGTGGTACCTGCATCATGGGAACTAACTGGTGAAGCGAATGCAACTTTGGTAGTCCTTTGCTGGGCAGGCAGCTCTTGGTCTGCCCCGTCTTCATTGAGCTCTGGACCCTCTTCCTCTTGTACAGTTTCCCCACTGCAAAGCAACCCCCCTGGACCACGGCTACTTTGGAGCTGGGCCTTTTTCCTCTGGATCTCATTGCGGAGGTTCGTAGCAAATCGCTCATTACGACGGCGGTTCCGACGGTGATTCCTGGACGAGTGTGACTTTCTCAGATCCGGCTCTCCTTCGATAGTCTCCACCTTTTTAAATCCACTTCTTTCTTTGTCCACTGCCCTTTGTTCTTCCAGCAAAGTATCCACACTGCATGCAGCACTAAGAGGCTCAAAATCTCTCTCCAGTATTTGATCAGAGCTCAACCTTCCCTGGGTTGACGATCCAGTGGGGTCCCCTGGTACACTCACAGAGCGGCCCCAAGGATGGTGATGCTCAACTGTGGGTACGGACCCCCCATTAACACCAATCGCTTCCAGTCTCTCACTTGAACCTGGACCATCATCTCCCCCTTCCAAGAACACAGATCCTGGGGTGGAACAACGACTACCACCCCATTTATTTTGAGTATGGGGTTGGTTCTGAGAAGGATCTGTGTCTTCCCTCATAGGCTGGAGCGATGAATGGGGCCACTGACTGTTACAAGAGGACAATGAAGGGTCAGAAGATTTTGCTGGATTGCAAGGCTCCAATGGGGAGTCTTCACTGTCAAACTCCAATAGCTGAAGTTGGGTTGCGAGCAGCTTCTCTGGGGCGCTGTGTCGGTGCAGCCCCCTACAGGAATACTTGGCCTGAGAGTCTATGGTATGAGACTGCCCTTGGACCTCAATGGAGGGCTCTGCAGATAAGGAGCCTGGGGGGGAGGTGCTGAAGGGGACAAGGGGAGCTGTGACTGGGTCAGGGTGGTGATCTGATGCTGTGTCTGAGTTAAAGTTGTTATTAGCACTAGTGTCACATCTTATATGTCTAATGTCTTTAGTATGTCTTTGGATATAGTGCAAGTCCATAGAATCCTCTTTGGAGTTCCCAGTTTTATCACCATCTTCTGTTGCAGAGAAGCCATTATAGATTCCTGATTCAACATTTGGGTAGGACTTTGTTTCTTCATTAAGAGAAGAAACAGTGGAAATTTCAATGGGTGCAGAAGTGCAACGTTTGTTGGCAGAATTAGGGCGACTCCGGGTGGCCCTAAAACTGTCCTTCCTGGTTGGAGGCTGAGGAGGATTCTTCTTTCTCTCAGCTCCCATTTCTCCATTTCTTATTATTTCAAAGTCTTCTCCTCTCCGCTCCTCCTCATAACAGCAAGAGGAGGGCCTCTCTTTTACCTCAACGGGCCTTGGTCTTGTCCTGGTCAGCGACCTGGACTTAAGAACAATGAGCTGTGCCTCACCCAGGACTTCACCAGAAGAATTCCCCAGGGTTGAGGTATCAACACCAGGGTAGCCTCGACAAGTTGGTCCTAGACTCTGGAGGAGGTTATCCATGGAGCAGGCTTCTCCCGGCCTTAGTGTCACTGTTGCGTAGTCAGATGTGTTGGAGCTGGCGGAGAATGAGCTGTAGGCAGAGTCTCTCTTGTTGTTGAAGAGGGCGGGGTCGACGGGTGAATTATGGGAGTCGGAGTAAGGTTGTGTCGTGGGTGTTGGTGTATCCAAGCTCTCCATGGAGCCCAGAGAACTGCTTCGGTCAGTGGAGGAATAAGGTCTGGACAGCTGACCCCACTGCAAGGACAATTCACTGCAGAGACATAAAGACAAAGAAGATCAACTTAAGTCATTCAGACATGCTATCAATTAAGAAATGGGATTTTTTTTTTAGCAAGATTCACATGGCATCTTTTAAAACAGTATGATGTTCCCTCTTGATTGACAAGAGGGTTTACGCGCTAAGAGACTGCACACAAGAAGTCATCTTTGATTTTCAAGTGGCAAGATGCAGTGTTCCCCCAGGACAAATATAGTATATAATACTTGAATAAAACGTTTGAACTGTACAGCTGGGGAATCTGTTTTCTATCAGTCCTGGGCCAACTATCCATGGCAGCCCCATGTGTTTTTAAAGACCCATGGAGGAAGCCTCTTAAGGGGGAGAGGGATTTCCTTCTCATCAACTCTCATTGCCCGGAGTGAAAACCTCTAAGTCATCCCTTGATTCCTCTCTTCCTCACTCATTCCTTTCTTCTCCTTGTGGATTCTTCCTGCCTCATCTCATTTACATCAAATGTGGGGTTAGCGCAAAATGGTAACCGCTTTTTCAATGAAACATTGGAAGCCTCATTCTAGGTTTTATTTTGTGACACAAAAAATGGAAACAAAGGCACTTCCTTTTGGAAAGTAGATCTTTGAAGTTTTGAATTGATTAAAATGAATAATTATCTTACAATAAAGCCTGCTCATAGTTGAGTCAGGACTGACTGTTACAAAAAAATATATTTCTTTGGGGCATAAAATCTGGACGGCACATGGCACCCGTTATCCTTAGCGGCATGAATCAGATCAAGTAAGCCTCCAAAAAACACTATTACTTAAAAAAGGATAAACCGTAATTTTCAAGAGAATCAACAGCAATAAATCTCACAAAAACATCAAATAGTGTGTTGGTCCTTGTGCCATTAAACCACAATGTCCTTTCTTTTAAACAGACTTGTGACCTCTGTTGCACATCATCATCCCCTTTTGTTCCCCTCTCTGCTTTTTACGGTCTTAATACAATCCATAAATTCACAAAGATTCCAAACTTCCTTTTGGATGCCACAAAAGACAACATGATTAAGTTGTTTCCAGTGTAATAAAAGCTTACGGAATGGTGCAAGGAAAATAGATTTCACACATCAGTATTAAGTCCAGCGGGGGATGGGGCAAACAACGTTTCTTTGCTTGGTTTAAATTCAATCCAAAAAGTCAGCAACTAAAATATCTGCTGGCATTTTTATCTAACTATGGTATTCATTTTCCTTTTAAGAAGAGAGGTTGATCACTCACCATTTCTGTGTCTTTGTTGGACTTATTCAAAAAATAAACATGTTTGCAAGGTATACTGAGAAGCAATCACAGACAAGAGGGATTTCTAAAAGGCTCTGATTTCCAACCAGAATGGGGGAAACAACCAGCAGATTAGATGTAGGCTCTTTTCTGGTTGACAAGCCAGGCAAGGATCTGAAAACCATTTTTTTTTTACCACTAACTACTCAGTATTTTTATGTAGTCCCCCAAGGTGTTAAAAGCTCATACTCAGAGTGGAGGACGCCTTGTTGGTCCGACAACGGCCTTTTATAAAAGCAACTGGTCAGATGATCACACTCCCAAAGTTCCATTATCTGCATGAGAAAAATGCCTTTGAAGGAAGTGAGCGAAGAATGAGAGAAGGAGAGGCCGCTGTATAGATCTGACCTGGGTGACGGTCGAGAGGAAGAGAGGAAATGAGACGGGAGCTGGACAGGAAATCACAGTCACTCCTGCCCAATCAGACGGCAATGTGGAACATGTGAGTGTCAGGGCTGACACAGATAAACCAGCGTATACACACACACACACATTCAAATACACAGATACTGGCTGGGTTTATTCTCAATGTGTCATCAGATAACTTCACTAACTGGTGTTTTGCCCACAGACAATTCCTTATGTTATTTTTGTATTTCCATAAAACACACAGACACACACACACACATGCAGACTGTACAAATTGTCCCTCTGCTCCACACAAACACAGTTTATTGAACGTCTTCCTCTCTTTGTCCACATGTTCTGGGAGTCACATGCCATTGTCCAGAGTTATGCCGGGAGCTGCCTCCTCATCTGATGTTCTGTGTGTGTGTGTGTGTGTGTGTGTGATGAGATCAGGCAGGACAAACTGTGGGAATAAGAGACCCGCATACACACCCACACACATATACTGCTATCTTATACACGTGGGACCATTAAATCTAACCGTGGTTCCATTATATCACCGATTCTTATCAAAAGGAGAACAGAACAAGGAGCTGACGTACCTCAAAGCTGACAAACAAAGACAGACGATTTTTTCATTGTGAGTCAATAAACCAACTTTGGTGACTTCCTCTTTCCCTCTGAAGGATTACAGTTAAGCTTTGTGAGATCATACTTCAATACAAAGACTTCTGTTGATAGACACACACCTTCTTTGGTTTTCTTCTTTTCGGAACTATTCAGACTTTTCCCTCCAATTGTTTCACTGATGTATGAAGTCATGCGTTATTCCAATTTGAGATGAATCCATTGGTTATGTAATCAACAGACCTTTATACAGCTACTGTTTGTAGTATGGATCAAAGGCTAAAGTTCTTATATGCTCGAATAGTTGGCTTGAGATCTAAAAAAGTGGCACTCACAAAATATGAATATGGCCACTGTCATCAGTTTTATCCTTTCCCCGTTTTGGGAGATCCCCCCCAAAACTTTACCGGTGTGTCTTATATTCCGATTTCATAGTATTATTACTAAAAGTTAAGCTCTACACATTTCCGTTTGATGTCTTTGGTCAAAGCCACCCCATTGGTTCAGATATAAATTGGCAATGTATCTTGATGAGGATGCTTAAAGCTGCATATGGAGCCTAAAGCTCTACCAAACCTGATGAGTGACTCTCCAAGAATGTCACCACTAATTGGGATACCAATGGGTAGCTTTATTTAATCACATGAGGGCGTTTGATGTGTAATTATTGAACACATTTTAAGGCTTTTGTTGAACTGGACAACCCTCCAAGCACTGTTCAAAGATGTCAATTTGAAACCTCAATGACGAGCATTTAATTAAATTTTTCTTCTGCCTGACAAAAAGTTTCTACATCATTAATTTAAAAAAACCTCTACCGAGTGTCAAGAGTCCAACAGTCAGACAAAGAACAGGTCTGATTGGTTATCACTCCGGAATGTTTAAATAGAACCCTGAAATAGACCAATGGGCTTCCTGCGTGGGCAGTGTTGGCTTTAGAACACGGTGATGTCACCTGTTTCCTGGCAACTGTTAGCTTTAGGGAACTGAAATTCCCCCTGAAGAGACACGGACAGGCAGTGACCCGTGAAGTCATGAGGTCCACTGTGTGTGATTCAGAGCTTCACTATCTCGAGGTGGCTGTGGGTTTTTTTACACGACACATTAGGTAAGTCAAATGTAAAACGATTTCATCAGGAGGAATTAGAAGTTTGTCAGAAGAAGAGACGTCATTGAATCTATAAATGTAGGCATAAAAAAGCCAGTCAGAGTCCAGACAAAGTAGGAGGGCAAGCATCCTCCGTTTGACGCTCAAAGTGAAGGGAAAAAAACACATCATCAGTCAAGAATCAACTACGATGGATTCCATCCTCTCACCTGTTGTCGGATGTGTGCCAGGGTAGTGTGTATGGGCCGGGGTGGAGCTGCATGGCAGACAGAGGGGGAGGAGGAGGGAGAGGGGGGGAGTCTGCAGTGGGCAGGCAGGGTGGAGGAGGAGATGGAGGAGGAGGAGGAGGAGGGGGAGAGGGAGGGAGGGGCGGCTCAGATAGCTTTGCCAGGTGCCAGGAGTGAGGCCTGATGACAGGAACGCTGCGTCTGCGAAGGAGAGGAGAGAGGGAGACGCTCAGGTGAGACTCAGTGACAGAAACAAGCATCATCATGACTTTTAAATCAACTACTGAATAAAACTGCCCCAAAGTTACAGCAACAATGTGCAAAAATTGGTGCGACTTTGTGACCCCGACATGTTGTCCAAAAGAGCCAGAACAACATCTTTTCCACCCTCCTGCTGAACTGCCTCTTCTTTGATGTCTGCGCTGAGAACTCTGAGCTACAACCAGCAAGTTGAGTTCTTCTTTTTGGCTTTTTCTGAAATTTGGCATTAAGTAATTTACTCGACCCAAGATGCACAGATCAAGATCAAGCACTTTGGATATCCAAAAATGTTCCAAAAAAGTGTGCCAACAGAATTCAGAACTACCCTGAAGCTTTGGTTTCACGGTAAATTGTTGCATAAAGTTGCTTAGATTGCGGAAAAAGTGCAAATTTGACTTGCAGAATTACATTTAACCAATATTGTACACCCAATTACCAATATTAGAGTACACCTAGACACACTCTCAATAAATCCTGCCTTCATAAATATTCAAATTCTCCAGTATTATTAACAGTATAAGACTGTAAATATAATTTAATTTGGATTTATTGGCTCTAGTTGTGGTGCTGTAGAGTTTTATTGCTTCATACTAGCTACCATTCATTGATGGGTGGACACAGCATTAGCAGTATCTAATTTATTGGATCTGGATCTTCAATATTGCTCAAAGCGCCTAACTGTGTTTACATTTTGTCATATCATGAAATGTACCTCTGACCGCATTTACGACCACTTTCGTTTGTTTGGAGGTCATAATTAAAAAGGACATGCTGACAGATTTGCAGCCTGTTGGCGCTGACTCTTAGGGAGTGATTTACGATGTTAACCTATGTAGGTAAACCTTCAACAAATATGTATATGTGAATGTGCAACATTTCTCCCCAGACGGCTGTTATAATTTCCCTTTTCTACAGTGAGCCACTTTTTCCATTTTGCAACCTCATCACTTTGGGACTACACGATCCTTTAAACCCAATTTGAAGCAATTTCTCGTCAGCATTGGGATGATTTATTCAGGAAAGACGGAGGGAACGACAGCCTTATTTGCAGCCTCGGTTGTAAGTGTCTTGAAGGATCAGGGCTCCCATAAAACTACGGCCCATACCAGTGATACCTTGCCAACCCCGAATCCTGTGGAAAACAACTTCCTTAAGACTCGTTTGCCCTTCTGCTGGACTGCCATTAAAAACTCATCTAACATCTATGTACAGTATGTTCCACAGTCTGATCTGAAGCCAGACATTCCTGTGTATCCCATGATATTCACTAATTCCCTTATACAGACTTCCGATCCCATATGCTGGCCAGATTCAATTCAACCCCCTGCAGACATTGTGTGCGTCTGTGTGTTAGTGTGTGCATGGCTGCGAGACCGAAAGAGAAACAAAAGAGCGTCTTGAAAAAGCTAGATATAATGATATGACAGAGAGAAAGCCCCGTCAGAGTCTGAATGGACCATTATGTGGATATCTTTCCCATTATCACACCGTTGGGAATATTGATGTTGGACTTAAGTAACATACAGAGAAGAAAAAACAGCAAGAGATTTTTTTACGATTAATCAAACTTCACTTTGACTCTGGAGACTTGAGGTATCGTAACTTGGGCTGACTTGGTTCTGAAAGCAACTAAACGGCTGAAGAGTGGTCGAGTTGAAGCTAAAGATAAAAGCTGATCCCCCATCCTGTGAAGTGTCTTTGTTTAATATTCTCAAAATAAAAGTACACAACTGTAAATCAAGACTATCCGGGGTATTTTGGTGGTACAATTTTGGGCGAGGAATGCGGATCCTGGCGCGGCGAAGGAAAGGAAAAGGACCATTTCTGAGTATTATTGTTTATGATAAAGCGGGAGCTGGAGAACCATTTCCAAAATAAACACCCTCGTTTCCTGGTTCGGGCTCCTTAAGAGGGATTTCTATTTGAGCCCACTGATTGTTCGACTCCGCTGACAATGTCCTTAAATTATCCCCTGAGAAAGTTTACGTAGAGCCTGTGTGTGTGTGTTTCTGTATGTGAGTGTGCAGGAGTATGTGTGGGAACTATCCAAACTCGACCAGACAAAATACCATTATTGAAACCTACCACAAACATTAGCAGACCCCCCCTCTCTCGCCACCGCCTCCCCTTTTCTCCGAGTTTAGCTCTGAGAGATTGATGACTGTGAAAATCAAAATAAATGTTCTGACGCCAAAGTTAAACATGGACTGAAGTATGATAAAGACAAAAAAATCTAAGAACGATGACAAATGTACAGTTCTGCGATGTAAGAATGTGATAAGGAAAGCTGCAGCAGCAGATTTTTTTTAAGCCATGCAGGGGAGAAGAGGAAAGTCCTTTCAGACACAATAAGCAAACTGTGGTTGGCCAAAGTTTCTCGTACTTCATGAACCCGTCCAATTTGAGTATTTACAAAGTAAGAAGCTGTTGCTATGGTATGTACATAAAGCTCTATTTATTTCTGTCACTGCCAATAATTGGGTATTATTTTAATATTGGTAGAATTTGGGATGTTCAACTCAAAAGTGGGATGAATTTGGTTTAAAATAAAGCCTGAAAGTCAGATGTTTGGGAAACGTAAAAGGAAGAGTCCTTAACCACAGGTCTTTGGGAGAACCTGAAGATGGTCTCAAATGCACAAATATAATCATGGCAACCTTTCCATTCATTTGTGCAATTTAGATGGTGTGTACACGTTTGCTTGCCATTTTCGGTAATACAAAAAAGATATTACCAAATATTGTGTGTCTCTTGGGCTTCTTTTGTTATTGCTGTGGTATTGAAACGGGTACTTATATCCATTGACATCTGATCGAGGTTTACCATTCTGGTATTGTTGCAAATTTAATAGAAAATACAGTTGTGCTTTTTCAGGATTATGGTGTGCCAGATTCTGACCAGTTTAGTCCTGATATTAATCTTTGTTGTGACTAAGCCCATCAAAGGAAAATAATGAAGAAGTCCAAAGAGGGTCAAACATGACAGTCGAACGGCTAGTGGCCATCCAAAACCCCAAATATTAACATATTTAAAAGTAAAAAGTAAGTAAGCAAGATAAGATGTATTTGATTTAAGAGTTACACACATCATCGAAAAGATGTCATTTGATTGGTTGCTTTAGTAATGTGATGGTATAACACATCCAGAGTGTGTCGTCTGGTTTTGTGGGATTAGCTGCTCATCATCAAAGATAACTGAGAAGACACAGAGGCCAAGGAGTACAGAGGTTTGGACGAACATCCACCCAGAAAGGATGCTGTTCTATTTGGTTGATTTTGCAAAAAAAATCAGAAAATGTGTCGGCCCATTTATCTCCCATAAGAGTCCCAAAGCTTTTGTCAGCGATTCATTGAGGTTTTTGGGATCAACTGGAGACAGCTACAGGTCTACATAAAGTCTGAAGGTTGGTCAGGTCACGCAAACTGGAATCACATGAATCAAGCCTTTTGAAGAATTTGTTGGCACTCAGAGGAAACATCACCGCTGCCCCAGAAGTGGAAACTGAGATAATGAGCAAACTGAGGTAACCATAATCAACCTTGAAATCCAATCAGGTTTTGAAGGCAAGCAAGTTCCTATTTTTAAATCTATTCTCAAGGGTTTTGATATTGAAAAATGAATAAGTAACGGAGAGAAGAGAACAGAAATGTAAGAAACAAACAAGAAGAAGAAGAAGAGCCGTTGAGTCTGGACAGCTGTCAATGGCGGAGGAACGATGAATACTCCGTCCTGCAGCTCTGAAAGAGGCTCTCTGAAAGGACCGGCTGGAATGTCCCACTTCATGGTCAGAAACTGCAACAGCTGACTGATACCGCAAAGGTCAGCGCGCATAATCGGACTCGCACACAATGTCTCAATACAGTGCAGAGCGAACGCCAGACGGGCAAGCCAGACAAACAGATTTAGACTTCAAAACACAGATTAGGACAGAACTCTTCTGCTTTCATGACATTGGCAGACAAGGAAAGGACTCGCGGGACAAGGACTGAGAGATTCTCTTTAAAGATTAAAAGACTGGAAACAAGTGTGAAAAATGTATCATGGGCTCAACAACCCCCTCCCTGGGAAGATGAAAGCATGGCCACTGTTGACTTCCCAAGGCTGAAAACATCAGGTTTTTTACCAAATTGGTGCGAAAGTTCAACGAGGTGAATCATCAAAAATCTCAAAAGGGAAGATAAGACGAACTAGTGATCCTACAGAAGTCTGGAACCTCAGTAGAAATAACACAAGACAATAAGAGTTTCAAACCTACCGGACTCCGCGGACATCAGCTGTCAAACTGATCCCAGTACAAGTCCGAGCATCCTGGAATTCCTGGAGTCCAAGTTCAATTGCACTCTTGTGCGAAAACGCTCTTGCGGACCTTTTTTCCCGGAGATTATCACTGAAACTCGTCACAGCTCTTCTCTTTCACACTGAAGCCGGTTGAGGTCTAGAGAAGAACCAGGTTTCTCAGAACTTCTGAGACTTGGTAGAAAGTGTCCTAAGAGCTGATGTCCATCTGACGAGAAGCTGGCTAGGATCTGACCAACCGACGGTCCTCACATCCCCTCTCCCTCCTTTTCCCTCTCTTCCTCCTCCCTCGCTCCTCTCGCTGGAAGACAAAACATGGCTATTTCTCCCTCCTGCACTCTTGCACTTTTCTCTCCTCTCTCTCTCTCTTTCTCTCTTCCCATCTAATTCTCTCTCGCCCCCTCCCAGGCAGGATGTGTGAGTCAGTGGGAGAGGAAGTATTGTGGGGAGCAGATAAAGTGGTGGACGACTGCTAAAATAATACCCAGAGTTTCACAGTGTTAGTGTTCGACAGAAGGAGGGGGGGGGGAATGCAGAGGTACTTCCTCCTTGTGTGTGTGTGTGTGTGCGTGTGTGTGTGTGTTTAGCGTTCATGTGTGTGTTTGCAGAGCATGAAAATGAGATCCAAAGAGCAAAGAAAGCAGACTGAGGCTGTTGGACAGACAAGGGGGCTTTTTTTTTTTTTTTTTTTTTTTTTAACTTTTGGCAGACAGACGAGGAAAACAAAATGTGGTGAAAGACGGGGAATGTAAGAGATGATGGGAGGTCCGCAGGAGAATCGGGAGTCAGAGGAACAATTACAGACAAAAACAATGAGGGGAGGTGACGGTTCAACAGCGGGTTCGCGATAAACACCTGACGTTTATCACCTTCCTTATCGCCAAGACTGATAGCATGCATGTCCAATAATGATGTGATGGCCCTGACCATGAGACCCCGTTCTCTTGTTTTTCGTGCAATTCAACTTTGTTCTGTGTTAAACTGTCACTCTCAAAGGATTGCAGAACTCGTGTCCTTCACACACTGATGGCAGCGGTGGCTAAGCAGCGGGTTAAGTGTCTCGCCCAAGGACACATCGGCCATGCAGCTGCAGGGGAGCTGGGGGATCGAACCCTCGACCTTCCGGTTCAGAGACGACCGACTCTACCAACTGATCCCACAGCCGCCTCCTGTACTAAATGTTGCCATGACGACAGACATAAGCCAACATTCCGCTGCTAACCGTCATCGATAATAAGAGATCATTAAGCCTCTCTCTGGTTTACTGAAGGGGCCAGGTGGCCTCGTCTGAGGTATGCTAACGGCGGCGATAACGACTGATAACGCCGAACACATAAAAGGAGTGAAAACTTCCGAGGCAGGTGGTCAAACAGGGAAACTCCGCTTGAGTTTACATTTAAAGCCGACGATTCATTTGTGTGGTTTGTTATTATCTTGTGGTCTTTAACTTCATACAAAACTTCCAAGTCCACTTCTAATTTTAAAAAACTACAATGGTAACTATGGCAACGTGAAAACAGCTCAACAGCTGATTAAGCTTCAGTTGTTTTAGCAAACAATCTCAATCTTTTCACACTTCTTTGTTGAACCTGAACGGTAAATCTACAATCGGTCAGCTTCAGTTTTACTGTGTGACCAAGTCGTGGATGTAACTACAACATCTACAGATGATGTCGCCTGATGTCCGTGTCAGCGTTCCTTCTTTATTTTGATATCAGCCTTGAACCTCTCAGGACAAACATCCATCCAGAGGTGTGAGCGTCCGACGTGGACCGTGTTAAAGTTTAACCGACCGCCGAGCAGCGGACACTTTAATAACACGAGGCCCCCTCAGCGGGCTTCAAAGGAAATCCTGGAGACTTGCATGTCCTGCAGACACCCCCGTGTGTGGATGTGAATGTGAGTTATATTCGTGCATGTGAGCAGATTCCGCACATTCCCTGTCTTCCCCCTTCAAAGGGTGAGGGGGTTAACTGTGTCAGAGAGACCTAAACAACCTCCTCCTCCTCCTCCTCCTCCTCCTCCTCCACTCTGCGCCTTTGTGTTCGCCTGCAATCAGGAGCTATTTGTTTGCTTTATGGGCCTGGGAGTGTGTGAGTGTGTGTGTGTGTGTGTGTGTGTTGTGTGTGTGTGTGTGTGTGTGTGTGTGTATGTTGTGTCCAACGCAATCAGACCTCTGTTGTTTGTCGGTCCTTATCGCCTTCATTATGGATCTCAGAAAGACACACATGCTTTTGTAGACATGCATTTACTGCTTAGACGTACACATATGTACATGTCTCTCTCTCTCTCTCTCTCTCTCTCTCTCTCACACACACACACACACACACACACTTTTAAATACCAGGTGATCAGTACAGTGAGACAGGACTCATACCAGAGGTCGCTGGCAGGAAGGGTGAAGCCCGCTTTAGCATCTGCAGCACAATGCGCTGTTTGTTACTGCTTGATCCCATACATCATGTGTGTGTGTGTGTGTGTGTGTGTGTGTGTGTGTGTGGTGTGTGTGTGTGTATGTGTGTGTGTGTGTGTGTGTTAACGTGGTTAATCAGCACTGCTATTTACTTCAGCCAACTGTCTGAGGGACTATAAGAAGGTTGTTAAAAATGTTTCCAGAAACTTAAATGTGAATTTTACGCCGCTCCATCAAACATGTCTTCATGTGTCTCATGTTTCTAAACGATGTAGAAAAGTTAAAATGTGCTCCTCTCTCTGCTGACTGCTGCTGGAGGCAGAAACACAACATTAGGATTACTCACTCCTGGGGAGACTTAAGAAGTTTATATGACCGGGTCCTAAGAGTTTAAGTCAATGCACTTAAGGCCGGGAGTTGAAGATGTTAAAGCATTAAGAAGCAGTTGAAGTGGGCAGCAACATTCAATTCATGAAGATGAACCAGGAAGTTGATAGAAAAATTAATGGAGTAGGGCGGGCCGCACAATTAATCAGAATTTGATCCTTACCGCAACATTGCAAGATTAAACGACATATTGTTTTCATCGCTGGTAAGCCTAGTGTGCAGCTTAAATGTTTATCAAACTCAAAGTGCTGAAAGGAGTTGAAGAGAAGTGAAAGGTGTGGGGCGCAGGTAGGCTAACAGGTCGTCTCATGTAGGAAGGTTATACTTCTGATCGAGAACTGCTCTGATGAAGTTGTTTTTTTTAAATGTCTCAGGACTCTTTTTGACCAGTTGTTTGATAAGTGTGTTTCCCTCCCTCCTGTCTCTCTTCTTGTGCCCTTACTGGTTTAGATAAAAAGCCAATCTTACGGGAATACATGAATAACTTCAGTCACAGTCATGTAAATATGAGACTATTCTTACTGTGTTTATTGTTGATATTTAATGTTGTACCTGTACATAAGAGAGCACAGCTTCACCGAGGTTGAATTCCTTGTGTGTGTAAGCACAGCTGTCCAATAAATCTGATTCTGATTCTTCACATAGAAGCTTTGCTAAAAATTCTAAATGCTAAAACGGGCGGAAAAAGGCGCCAACACCAGGACCGACAGAAGAGAAAACACAAGAAAAAACTAAAGAATCGTACTGTATGCTCATCGTCAGTCCAATGTGATGTTGTTATCCCAGAGGGGAAATGACACCAGAGAGGAAACCTCATCAACTCATGTAACTGTAGGAAAATAAAAACAACCATGTGAGGCGCCTGTTAAATATTTGATTATATGTATTATATTTATTGCTTCTGTTCTGACAATCCATCCTCCTGTTGGAACGATCGTCACATGTTCAGAGATTCAATGGATTTGGTTTCTTTCCCATAATAAAGACGTCTCGTTAAAAGTCCTGACTGAATTAAAACTTTATTAAACGCTTGATTACAGCAAAACTCTTACACAACATTCAATATGACTTTTTGTTCTTCCATTTTAATTCCTCCTGATTACTTTCCTTCTGTTTGCTTCTCCACGCTCTTTTGGTTTTCCTCTTTTTCAAACGTCATTTTACATTTGAATGTTCACTATTTAAGGATCAAATATGGAGGAGTATAAAGAGCCTAAAAGGTAAACTGAAACTTTCCTGTAACATGAATTCGTTCTCAATAAGTAAAGTCAACCTGCAGAAATAAATCAAAGAAATATATTAAATGACATGGTCGCAAATTTGAAACCTAAACGGAGGCAGATGACATTTGCTGTAATCCCATCAGTGTTTCAAAACTGTAATTAAATGTTGACATAATGTACACCCTGGACCAGCATGTTCAGTCTGTGAGTCTGCAGAGAGACTTTATAATATGTTATGAATCATCTGTGCAGCTGTTGTTCCTCCTGTCTGACAGTTTATTCAGTTAAAGGCGGGTTGATATGGACCAGAAGTCATTTCTCGATTTTGGTTTTAGATAAACTGCGATACAGAAAATATTTCTCGATTTTGTTTTCTGTAAAGAGATGACAAAACCAAAGTCAGTTCTAAGTCAAATCACACGTATGTGAGGGGTACAGAGTGATCTCCGACTAGTTCACTGGTCTTAAAGGTCACACGTTATCCTCGTTTTAAACCAGTTTAAATCAGAGCTCCTCAAAACATGTCTGCCTCTTCATCTGACGGCGTTCACAGGCGTTAAATATCAGATTATGGAAATAATAAATCTTCTTCCTGGAGGTGTGGTTTTCCTTTTTGAGGTCATATCAGGCATCACGGTTTCATTTCAACCAGTTTCACAAATATATAAAAACTAGTCATAGGAGCTTTAATATTTAAAGTCAAAACACTGAAAGTTTACAGACACATTTTATCTGTTTTTTTTAATCAGAGCAAAGTGAAAGAGTTTTAATTTATTCTGACAATATAACAGCATTTGGGTCTCGTAAGACTAAAATAAAAAGTGAAATAACTTTAATAAAGGTTGTATTTCATGTCTTTAATTGCAGATCTCTCTCAGAGCCTTGAGGATATTTTTGGAGTATTTTTTGTTCTTTTTTTCATTAAAAATGGGAACAAACTGATTAAAAAGCACTTAAGTACCAACATGGAGCGGGCGAGCGAGGTCACAGAGTTTAAGGGGCTCTCTCTCTCTCTCTCTCTCTCTCTGGACGTTATGTTTTAGTGTGATGATACTTTATGTCCTGGTTCTTCTTCTTTAACACATCTTTTC